GACGAGCCGGCGGGACTACAACTCCCTGCAGGCTTTGCCGAGGGTGCGCCTAGCGGGCCCACAATTTTGCCGGAAGTGGCGGGCTCGCTTCCGGAAGGCCGCTGGGACATCTGGGGTCGTTGCAATTCTCGTCTCCCTGGTGGGGCTTCCCCAGTCGGTGCCAAGGGTGGTTCGGGGTGAGTCCTGTCTGGACCCCCCAGATCCGGGGCCCCGAGCCCACCCCCGGATCGCGGCGCCCCAGGCAGCAATGCCCAGGGCCGGCTGGTGGGCTGAGGCGGGGGTGTTCTCCAGGGGGCTGGACCCGGGGCCTCCCAAGCAGCGGGGAGACCCACGCTGCGCCGGCCCGAGGGTCTGGGGACCTTCCCGGGTTGCAGCCGCCACGCCCCCTTCCTCCCGGTGCGAGCCAGCCATGGTTCCGGTCTCATTGCTGCTCTCACCCTCTTTCGGTCTCCGCGTTTGGGGCGTGCATTAGACTGCGACTTGGCGATGGGAAGCCTGCCTGCAGCCCACGGGGCGTAGGCAGATGTGTGGACAGAGCCGTACTCGAGTCCGAGGACCCTGGTTCAAGGGTCTGCTCTGGGATTTGGAACCTTACAATCATGAGTGTAGGAAGGAGAACTTAGAAATGATCTGCCAGGGTTTCCCGACCCCCAACCCGATACAAACAAACACAAAACTTTACAGTGTGACTTTGGGCATGCCATTTAATTTCTTTGAAGCCTTAGTTTCTTTATCTCTAAAATGAGGTTAATATTTGCAGCCCCTTCCTCGAGAAATTAAGGAATGCGTTTTATGAACTTTGAGGTACTAGAGAAATACATCTGCTGTTAACATGAGAGTTGTCCTGGGTTCCTCGTCTAGTTGGGCAGTAAGAATACCCTTCCCTTCTTTTTGTTCCCTGTCCTTGCTCCATCTTCCCCTCACTGCTCCCTCTCTCCCATCCCCCAGTGCACACCCATTGACTCATCTTTGAATGGTGAGGAAAGTTGTGCTCCCAAGACTTAAAAAGATCCTTTCATGACTGAATCAAGTAGAAAGCTTGGTTAGCTCCTGGACCAGTGAAACTCAAAAGTTGTGGGGAAAAGGGATGAGCTCACTGCCAGCTGGTGTGTGGAAGTTATTGTATTGCTTTAGATGAGCATGCAAATATGGGACTAAAAGGTAAGGATGGGCTAAAAAAGGGCTGAGGATATGTATCTGTTTCATTTGGACAGAGGAGCCCTGGCACTGCTTTTCTTACCATGGCTAAGCCACCAAGCAAAGATTCTGGGCTAAAGGAGAAATTCAGGACTCTGTTGGGGCTGGGAACATCAAGACTTCCCAGGTCCTCTGAGGGGAAACAAACTGAGTTTATCATCACTGCTGAAATTCTGAAGGTGAGTGACCTTCCTGCTTGATTTTTCTGCTATTTCAGAAAGAAAGGCCTAGGAAATCAGTCTTTGTTATGAAATACTCGAGAAGCTTAGTGATCAGCAACAGTGCCGGAAATACCCATCTAGGAAAAACTACCTTGTCCTGACTCTTTGAGGATTCTGGTGATTTGGCACAGGAAAAATGAGTTAGAATTTTTGTGAGGCTATGGATCCAAATATGCCCAAGCTGTGGGAAGTTTGTAGTAGCAAGGATATACCACTGGCTTAGAGTGGCAGTCCATGATAAATCCTCATTTCAGTAAAAAATTGCCTCAGGTCTACCATGTGAATGAAAATAGGTGCAGGTTCACAGGAAGCATGTAGGGTCCCCTGTTAGAATGACTTTCATATGGCATGACTGACGGGGTAGATGGTGGCTTGGGCCTAACAGATCTAAAAGGCTGGAGATGATTGAATGCTTTTCTTTCTCAACTTCTCTTCTCTTCCTAGGAACTCAGTGTAGAGTGTGGCTTGAACAATCGGATTCGGACCATAGGTCAAATCTGTGAAGTAGCAAAAACCAAGAAATTTGAAGAGGTATGTTTGTGTCCAGGGGGATACATGTGAAGAGATGCATTGCTGAGTTCTTGTTAAGAATCTGAGAGCTTCTAAACTTTAGAAATTGAAGAGATCTGAAAATTCTCCACCTTCAGTGATAGGTAGAAAAGTTATTTAAAATGTGGGTGACATTCTAGTGGAACTGAACAGGCTGCTGAAGGGGAAACAGGAAGGAAAATTCCAAGCAGATACTGAGGTGTTTCTTTGGTGAAGAAGTTGTTTTACTAAACTCTAATCTGGTGATTAGACCATTCTTAATGGGAAGTACAAAGGGGAATTAGCCCAGGAGTCTGGTTCATTCAGATAAAAAATTATAGAGTTGTAGAATGTCTTTAGAAGAGATCCAATCTAGTTTCATCCCTACATTTATAGAGGGAGAAACTAAGTGCTTTGTGCTAGGTCACTCAGTGAATCATTGGCAGAACTGTGACTAGCACTGAAGTTTCTTGAAGAGTTGAAGAGGACTGTGGCTTAATTTAGGGGGAGCGGTGGCTAGAGTGCCAGGCTTGGAATCAGAAAGATTCACCTTCCTGAGTTCAAAACTGGCCTTAGACGCTGACTAATTCTGTGACCCTGGGCAAGTCACTTAATGCTGTTTGCTTCAGTTTCCTGATCTGTAAAATGAGCTGGAGAAGGAAATGGCAAACCACTCCAGTATCTTTGCCAAGAAAGCCCCAAACAAGGTAACAAAGAGTCAGACATGACTGAAACAACAGCAAGCAAAATGTCTTAACTCACCTTGAGCCATTCTGTTTGTTAACATAATCATAAAGGGTTGTGGACAGTATACAACAAAATGTGGATTTTTAGCTATTACAAAGGAGAGAAACTTGGTTTTGTCATTGTGAAATGGAGACTCCAATTTAAACTGTTTTCTTTAGTTTTGGTAACGTCTTTTGGGTGTCCTTCTACTATAAGGGATGGAAGCTGAGATTATTGAGACCAGAGCAGTAACTGCCATTCCCTTTCTTCCCATTTTCAGCATGCAGTAGAAGCTATCTGGAAAGCTGTAGCTGACATGTTACAGCCTGAGAAGCCAGCAGAAGCCCGGCACGCTGTTTTGTATCTGCTGAAAGCGATTATTCAGGGTCAGGTAGATAAGGGGCTGTTGGCTTGCTGTAATAACTTGCCCTGATGTTCCCTTCCACTCCCCTGGAGTGAGGCCAGGAAGGGATTAGTAGATGTGTGCAAAGTACTTTGCAGACCTTCTAGTACCCAAATAAATTTCAGCGATGGCAAGCCCGTGAAGTAGTAGGTGGTGGACTTGTTGTCTGGAAGACTAGAGTCTTGAATTTTTTCACTAGCCTGGTAAGGGAAAACCATTTAAACCTCAGTTTCCTCATCTGTAAGATGGGGATAATAATAACATGTACCTTACAGGGTTGTTGTGAGGATCAAGTAAGATATGGAAATGACTTTGCAAATCTTAAAGTGTTATATCAGTATTAACTCTTAGTATCAGAAATGGGAGAGTTAGTATCAGCTAACTCTTCAACTCTTCTAAATGACTTTCATTCCACTTGTTTATTTGGGGAAATATTTTTGCTAACTATAGTAACTATAGAAGAGGAAATCATATCTCTGTAGAGAGTAAGGAAGCCAAGGCTGCTGTTGCTATCATTTTCTCAGCCTTAGCTTGACTACTGTTATAAAAGTTTATTTGTATTATCCACTTATGAGTTCTGGCTGAAGAGAGAATTCTGGAAGGATCTTAAAATGGGGCTTGGGTGGGAAATGACTTCATATCTGAAGGTCTCAGTACTTAGTTCTGTGTTTTACTCATAGCCTTAATAGCTATATTTGTGATCTCTCCAGCCATTGTGGAATTATCAGGCATGTATGTTAGCAGTGGCACAGAAAACCCAGCTGCTTTTTAAGAGGAATGTAATCTCACTGGTTCAAGTAGAAAGAGACCTTAGGTATACTTTGATCTAACCTCCTTGTTTTATTGTACAGTGCAAGAAACTGAGGCTCAGAGAAGGGAAATGACTTGCTTAAGATTACATGGAGAGTAAATGGCAGAATGGGAATGATTTTTTTTCTTTCCCCTAGGGGGAACGCTTAGGTGTTCTCAGAGCACATCTCTTTAAGGTAATCAAGAATTACCCCTCCAATGAAGACCTGCATGAGAGACTGGAAGTTTTCAAGGCTCTCACTGACAATGGGAGATACATAACATACTTAGAAGAAGAACTGGGTGAGTTCATCTTTCTGTATGTTTTTCTCTTCAGCTTGTATGGAGAGGAAGATGCTGTAGGTTGGTGGGCTGCCCAGGAGAGGGCAGTAGGGTAATTAGTAGAGGGTAGTAGAGTATGATCAGCCCGCCAAGGCGGTCCTGGGTAAATTTGGAATTGGAGTTGGAATGGACTTTAGAAGTCACTGAGGCCAACACATACCTGACCAGGAAACACCTCTATAGTATCCCAGCAATTGGTCATCAATTCTGTCCTTGAAGACCTCTGGCAAGTGAAAACCCAGTATATCCTGAGGCAACCCATTTTACTTTGCAACAGCTATAATTATTAGGAGCTTTTCCCCCCTATTATATTGGGTCTAAATCTGTCTCTTCGCACCTTCTAGTCATCCTTCCTAGCTTTGCCCCTAGAGCCAAGCAGAACAAGGGTTGTTCCTTTTCTGTGTGACAGCTCCTCTTTCCACCCCACAACTCCCTTTTCTTCCAGAGTAAACATCCCCAGCTCATCTGATCCTCACGAGTCCCCTCACCATCCTGGTCAGCTTTTCCCTGACACATTTGTTTGTCCATGTCCTTCCTAAAATCTTAAGAGCTATCCTAAAGCCTGGCACTCAGACCCCAGTAGTACTCCAGATGTGGTCTGATGAAGGCAGAGTGCATCGGTTCTATCATCATCCTTGTTCTGAGACACTGTGTCTCTCTTAATTCAACCTGAAATTGGCTGTCATATCATGCTTTTGTTGATTTTTTTTTTCAGTTGACTATGACCACCAGCTCTTTTCCACATAAATCATAGGCCTTAAAATTAGTCACCTGGTGACTAACCTGGTGATGACCCTCCATGAATTTATTTAGGTTGGCTTCAAACAATAGACATATAGTCTCTGGACATGGTCTTCTAGCATCCTGGGACCTGAAGAAAAGGATAATAGCACTGTTATTAGCTTTCGTTCTGAGGAACGAAATGTGAGGTGTAATAATATGTAAAAGCTCACACTTCTATAGTGCTTTATGGGTTAACAGGTGCAAACGACCTTGTGAAGTGGTAGTCCACATATTATCTCCATTTCACAGCTGCAGAGGCTGAAGCTCAGGGAGAGTAAGGGACCCGCCTAAACGCACAGGGCTAATAAATGATGGCATTTAGTGCTTGAACCCCAAGTATGTGAATACCTGATTCTCTTGGGCTTTTTCTGCTGTACCAGGAGTCAGAAGCCATTTTGAGGAATAAGTGGCTTTTTGAAAAAAATTCATTTGTACTTATAGCTTTTAGTTTGCACCCCTCCCAGAGTGCCACCCCTTATAATAAAGAATAAAAAATTGTAAGGAAAAAAAGTTTAGCAAAACTAATCACTGTATCAAAAAAGGGCAGATACTGTGTTCCACTTTCATGGCCCCCCATTTCTGCAAAGAATAGGGAGACTGCCACTATGGAGAGCTACTTCTTTTGTAATCTTAAGACCTTTTTTGAAGAACTGTTTTTAAAAATATTATATTTGTATATTTTAATATTATGATGCTCTAAATAGAAGACTTTTTCCACACTCTTTCTCCAAATCTGGCTGGTATAAAATCTTAGTACAATCTTCAATTGTGCTTTTAGTAGTAGAGGTCTTATTTTAAGCCTTATTGGTGTCCAACAGCTTCGTCCCTGATCCACACATGCTAGGACAGATCCCCCTGCTACTCATGCTGTAATGTAGGGTAGGTAAACCCTTCCCATTTATACTGTATGAATAACTTCAGCACCTCAGAAATGGAAGTCTCGTAGAAGAGCTCCTTTACCCTCCACCCCCAGTATTCCTGAGGCTACAGAGGATATTGGCATAACACTGCTAGGGTCAGAGGTCCCTGAGAGACCCTCCTCTCAAAATACTTTCTTGTGGCCTGACAGCTCAGGCCTCTCTTTCATGGTGGCTCCTCACAACTAAGGAAGTCCTTCCTTAGTTTCTGATTGTAGAAATCACAAAGGAGGGGAGAGAGAAGTAGGGGATTGGTGGCTCCCACAGGGTTGTGTAGGATCCTACATTGTACTAGTGGGGTTTCCAAGCTTCACAGCTGAGAAAGGACTGGCTCTCCAAGTTAGTGAAAGGAGGGGCAGTGGGGAAGTAGAGCAAGTGAGAGTGATTCATCTGCCTGTTGGCCTTCATCTCGGCCTTGAAAAGTTCACCTTACCACACTTAGTTGCTTTTCTAAATTTTTCATTTTGTGGGTTTCCTTTAATTTGCTTACATTTTTGTGTGGCAGAAGCTTATTTATTTTCTAAGAAAAAAATAGAACAAATTTCCCCTAAAGAAGTTGGTGAGGGGCGGCTAGGTGGCGCAGTGGATAGAGCTTCAGCCTTGGAGTCAGGAGGACCTGAGTTCAAATCTGGTCTCAGACACTTGACACTAAGTAGCTGTGTGACCCTGGGCAAGTCACTTAACCTTAACTGCCTTGCCAAAAAGCCAAAAAAAAAAGTTGGTTCTTTAGTATAATACAGAAATTTTTTTGTGTTATAGTTTTTCAGTATATATTTTGTTTTTTGCTTTTTGTTCATTTTAGGGCTTTGGCACTAAATATATCTATATACATATATGTATTTTTTATATGTATTATATACAACCAGATACATACATATATACATATATACGTAGATAGACAGATTCATTTGGTACCAGAAATTTCACTCCAGTTTTATTTGTACTTGTCTATCCATTGTTATTTTTAAGATTTATGTGAATTAATACAAGAGAGAGGCAGCGTAGAGTAGTAGAAAGAGATCTAAACTTAGGAAGGAGACAGGAAGGCCTGAGTTCAAGGCCTGCCTCTCACACATGCTGGCTGTGTGGCCCTAGGCGAGTCACTTAACTTCTCAGTACTCTAGGATACTTCTAAGACTATATTTTACAGAGAAGGTGCTGACCTGCGTTGTTAGAGGGAGTTTTCTCATCTGGGAGTTCTCTGTACCAGTGATATCATAGGTTTGGTCCTTATCCACAGTTCAAAAAATAGGATGATAGGATATACATTTGTTGGCTCTAGAAGGACCAGATTTGTTTATAGCCTAAGTACTGGTGAGAGGGTGCTGAGGAGTTCTGTTAGGCTTTTTCCATTAGCGTATTGTCCAGGGTGTTCAGCACTTTAGCCGTTTGTTACTGTTTAAAGGCAGGGAGACCTGCCCCTGAGTGGATGAAGTGTGGAGCAAGTGGGGAGGAGGAGGAAAAGGAAACAAGGCATCAGCAGAGCTGCTGGGGTGGCAGTTGCTAAGGAGAAGAGCACCTCACCAGAGATTCTGCTTTGAGCAGTGGTGGTGATTATAGTGGGATGGGCATGAGAATTCTACTGTAGCAATTTGATTTGTTATATATATTGATTTTGCTTGTCAGTGAGATGAGTCAACACATAGGTCAACATATACTCATTTGTTTATTTTGGCCAGAAGAACCCCACATCTTTAATCTCTACAGTCCAGTCATAGAGCTTCTATCTTAGTTCAGGCCCTTTTTGCCTCTTGTTTGCACTGGTTAGCTCCTAATTGATCTTCCTGCCTGTAGTTCATTACTTCTTCAATATGTCCTCCATGTAGCTACCAAAATGATATTCCTAAAGCACAGATCCAACCATATCACCCCCAACCCTCCCTCTCCTCTTCAAAAATCTTCAAGACCTTCTATTGCCTCTAGGATAAAATATACAGTAAGTTTAACTTTTAAGCCTTCACAATCTGGCTTTCATGTACCTTTTCAATTTTATTTCAGTCAATCAACAAATACTTATTAATCAGCACAGAGCATCTATTAAGAGCCTGCTATGGACCAAGCAGTGTGCTAGGCACTGGTGATACAAATATGAGTGACAGTCCTTGTCCTGAAGAGGCTAACATTCTCTCATGGCAGATGTGTTCACGTACTAATACAAGATATATTTTAAAGTATGCAGTGGTTTGAGGGTCACTCACAAATGGGGAAATTAGGAAAGGGCTCTTGGAGATGTTCTTTGAGTTGGTCCTTACAAAGGAGCTTGGGTTCAAAGAGGTGGAAGAAAGGACAGAGAGCTGTGCCAGTGTGGGTCAGCCGGGGCAAAGGCACAGAGGTGGGAGGTGGACTTATGCAGGAGGAACAGCAAGCAGTCCAGTTTGTTTAGAGCAGAGTATGTAAGGAGGGAAAGATGTATACTGTAGTCAGTCTGGAAAAACAAGGTTGTGAAGGGCTTTAAATGCCAAATATTTTGTATTTTAACCTGAAGACAATGGGGAGCCAATGAAGCTTCTTGAGGAAAAGAGTTGTTGAGGAGGTAGAAGATGATGACTTTTTGGATAAGGGTGAGGGGTGGGTAAGAGGGCAGATCAATTGAGAATGACTCTGAGATGGCAAATTTGGGTAATTAGAAGAATGGTTGCATCCTCAACAGAAATGACAACATTAGGATGAGGGGTAGTTTGAAGGAGAAAGATACTATGTTCTGACTTTGACATTTTGAGTTTGAGCTGCCTATGGGACATCCAGATGGAGATGTCAAGCAGGTAGTTAGAGATGGCCTGCTGGGGTTTAGGAGAGAAATAAAGGTTGGCTGTATAGATTTGGAAATCATCTGCTTAGAGATGATAGTTAAATCCATGGGAGCTGATGAGATAACCAGGAGAGAGAAGAGAAGAAGGTCCAAGACCAGGCTCTGGGCTACATTCACGAATAGAGGGTGGGACGTGGATGAGGAAGGTTTGAAGGAGACAGAGAAGGATTGGTTTGATCGGTAGAAAGAGAACCACAAAAGCAACATCCCAAAAGTACGAGGAGGAGAAAGTATACAGAAAAAAGGGGTTGGTCTAGTTCCTTAGAGGTCAGGAAGGACAAGAACTAGAAAAATCCCTTGAACTTAGCAACGAGGCAATCAAGAGAGCAGTGGTGACCTTGCAGGGAGCAGTTTTTGTTGAATTTGGGAGATGGAAGCCAGATTGCAAGGGGTTGGGTACCTTAGCCTCTTATGGTTGTTGTGAGAGAGATGTGGAAGAGGTGCCATCTACGAGAGGGATTCCCTCTAGTAGGAATACCCACACTGGTGAAATCATTGATACACCAAAGAACCAAAATATTGTTAACATCTCCAGAATGTAGCTGGATTTTTTTTAACCTACATCTGGAGAGAAGTTATTGAGGATGTTAGGAACTCTCTACATGAGAAATTAAAATTGGGTGGATAAGAAAGAATTCTTGATACTGCTTAGAGGCTAATCAGTTTCATTTCCATCCCTTCTAGCTGACTTTGTTCTACAGTGGATGGATGTTGGCTTATCATCAGAATTTCTCCTGGTGCTTGTGAACTTGGTCAAATTTAATAGCTGTTACCTAGATGAATATATTGCTTCAATGGTCCAGTAAGTACCAATTTAAATGTTTTTGTTGCCATACTTTTGATGATTTGGTGGTGGCTTTTCTCTCTCTGCCTTTCTAGATTGAGTTCTAGCCTAGAGAGGGATGTTGTTGGAGCCCTAGAAATCAGTGGGGAAGTATAGGTAGCTACTTCCTATTTGCCTGAGTTTTAAAGGGTGACTGGCCATAGTAGTTTTAGTGTTGGCACTCTGGTCCCATCCATGTAGGATGAACTACTATTGAAAGTTAACTGAATGACATCTTCTTTCTGCAAAAATATTCTGGTCTTGTCTCCATTAAGATGCTCAGATTCTTATAATCTAGCCACTGCTCATATTCTCAGAATCTAGCCAATAGCTCACTAATGTTCAGACTCCTTAAGAGTCTCCCCAATATGATGGATGTTGTAATAAACCTTGTCTTTGGCTGAAAAAAAAATATTCTGGCAACTGTGTGGTGTTTTCCCCCAACAGCATGATCTGTTTGCTCTGCATTCGCACTGCATCTTCTGTGGACATAGAGGTCAGTAACTCTGCTCTTTGTTTTTTCTGATTACCTATATTGG